GCTGTGCAGGTGTGCAGCTGTAGTTTTGTCTAGTCCCAGCTCAGGCTGGTACTCTTAGTCCTGATAAGACGTGGCCTAGATGCCTTAGTCCCTGAGATGTGTCCTAGCACAGTTCTCACGATTTGCATGGCGGGACTGGTTTCAGTTAGGGCTGCTTGTTGGTGATGCCTGAGCCAAGACACTGCTTACTCAGTCAGAGCTGGGACATTTGCTGGGCTTTGAATTATGTTTAGGCTCCCAAAAGGGTATTTGTGTGTTAATGAATACTACCTGTTGTTTCTGTGCTAACAAATCCAAACTGAATACAAAGTGAATCATAGAATCATAGAATCATGTCAGGGTTGGAAGGGACCTTAAAGATCATCTAGTTCCAAACCCCCCGCCATGGGCAGGGACATCCCCCACTAGACCAGGTTGCCCAGAGTGTTATTCAGCAACAAGTCCACCAAATAGCCCAAGAACAGCAAGTGCCCAGGGGCTGGCCAGCCACAGCCATCATCTTGGTTACCAGACTGCAGAGCATGAGCACAGCGCTCCTCTGTGATATTACCTCTTGTCCTAGCTGTAGGATTCATACTTTTCTGTAGTTTATCTGGTATCAAAGCACTCTCCGTAGGACTCTTATCCAAAGCAGTACATGTACTTGTGCCTCAACCAACAAACCCTCCCAGGAGCTGTAACAACACTGGGCCTGGCATGGACACAAGTCTCCTCCATCTCACGCATTAGGAGGCAAGAGAGATGCACTGGGCAAGGTGTAGTCTCACTCCTAGTGACCCATCGGGGTGGAGTGATGGGAAGCCCTGAAGGTGACCTGGTTGTAGCAGGTGAAAATATTGAACAGAAGACCTCTGCTGAGATACTGACAGAGAAAGTGCCTGCCAGCCTGGGAACCAGAAGCATCCTTGAGGAGGGCAGCTGTGATCTTGGAAGTGCAGCTGGATACCAAGAAACCAGAGATATCCCAAGACATCAACATGCAAAGTACAAAACCAAGGAACTGTAACAACTTATCATCTGGGAAGGTAAAAAACAGTCTGGAAAAGGAGGAAAACATCCTGAGAAATGAAGAGTCTGTAACTGCTGTTGGCTGTTCAAACTGACGGAAGAGAAAAACAGTCTACAATTACAAAAAATTGGTCTGAGACAATAGAAAACATCACCAGTTATTGACTGTGCCAGGTGAAATACAAAAGTTAGCAGTATCTATTAGCTGCTCTGAGTGGTAGTTCCCTTTGCCACTTTATGACTCTGTGGTATAAGAAGGACTTACTCTTTGCTCAGAACAAAGCCTCTTTCTCCGAGAAATGTCTGTGCACGAAGCCCCATTCCCTGTGATATCTCCTCGGCAGAGCGGACGCTCACCAGGTATGCTGGGCTGATTCCAGGCTCCGTGACATGGATCATCATCCAAGTGAGACTTTGTCCAGTGTCAGTTGGCCTCACTTCTGGGATGGGTGTGTTGAGCACTTGGTACTAGTAACATTTTTTATATATCTATATATGTGTGTGTGTGTGTGTGTGTGTGTAGTGTGTATATATATATACACACACACACACACACATACACACACACACACACAGAGGCATATACATATACACACACGCATATATATACACACACACACACACACACACACACATATATATATACACGTATATATGCACACAGAGATATATACATATATATTTATCATCATCATCATCATGGCTAGGCTTTGTGAACGAAGATATGGGAAGGGCTCTACACACACACACATACATATACATATATACACACACAGAGATATGGATAGATAGATAGATATATAGACAGATAGGGATGCACAGAATTATAGAAAAATTTCATTTCAAAAAGACCCTTAAGATCATCAAGTCCAACCATTAACCTAACCCTGCCAAGTCCACCACTAAATCTTTCTATGATTCCATGATAAATCATGTCCCTGAGCACCTTATCTACATGTCTTCTTTTAAATATTTCCAGAGATGTTGACTCAACCACTTCCCTGGGCAGCCTGTTCCAATGTTTGACAATCCTTTCAATTCCCTTCTTAAGAAAATTTTCCTAATATCCAATATAAACCTCCCCTGATGCAACTTGAGGCCATTTTCTCTTGTCCTAAATAATAATTACTGATAAGTATATTTGCTGCTTTACTAGTGGTAATTCTGTAGTAACTTGTAAAATTGAAATATATACTTGCTACTATTAATTTCTGCTACTGTTGAAATACATATTTGCTTTCTGGTAGCAATTTGTAGTACAGATATATTTGTTTCGCTAGTCATAAGTATATTTGCCTTGATAGTGGTGAACTGTAGTAAAATGCAATAAAGTAGTTTAGTAAATAAAGTGTCCTTGTTTTTCTGCATGACAGAGTCCTGAGAATCCACAGCTGTGCCCTTTGCCCACCCGCCAGCTGGGTAACCCTTCTGAGCTGTGACAGCCCAATGGAGAATATTCTGCTGAGCTGTGTCCAGTGGACGCGGGCACTAACTAGTGGAGAAAGGGACAGGATGACATAAACTCCTGTTTCTCTCTTGCACTGTATTGCTTTGACTTTTTGCAGGCTGTCAGTGAAGATCAGGTAGAGGAACAACAGCCAATTTCATTTCCATGCGTTCAGCTGTGGAGGTGATGCTGGGGTATAAGGGCCAGGAGATGCTCCTTTGCTTTCCACGTGGCCGGAGAAACACGAAGTTAAACAGGTTCATGGGGGTGAAGCTTTCATCTTCCAGAGCCCGGGCTTTGCCTTCAGCAATCACTCTGCTATAAAGGGCAAAGAGGATGCAGAGCGGTCACGTCGCACTCCGGCTTGTGTTACAGCAAGGGGTTACCTCCACAATTAACAAAGCAAAAAATGCTTTGTTAAAACACTAGCAGCACAGGGAAAATGCGCTCGCCCCAGCGGGCCCGCAGCAGCCGCAGCTGCAGCCGTGACTGGGGAAACGCGGAGGGGCCAGCTGATGTTGCAATGGCATCCGGATTCCAGCTCGGCCAGACAAGCGCTGACATTTTTCCATCACAACATGACCCGCTAAAGCCTTCTGCTGGAGTTTTCATTCAGGAATGCTAGCTGTGGTCAGGCTGCCTGTATTTACAGGCACAAATAAACAACTGCTGACTGAAATACACCATTCCCACGACTGTGCTTGGACTAACCTTGCCAGAGTAAAGCTAGATCTACTCACACAGTGAAGCAAAGACTTTTTGCTCTTAACATCACCTCTCTCTCGTTTTTTTTCTTAGATGCAACTTTTCAGAGATGCTAAATTTGGGAGACAGGGCTTATAAAAATTAGAAACAAGAAATTGTTTCTTTTATTTATTTAAGCAATGTTTCTGTGTCATCTTCTGATAGAAGTGACATGAAGAAAACCTGATTTAGAGAGTGAAGCCTTTGTTTTCCTTTAAACCACTTGATCCTTGCATATTAACTGCAGCAGAGCTGTATTCACAGTGTTTACTGCCTTGGGTGGCAGTGCTGCTTCAAAACATTCCTGCCCTTCCTTTCCCTCCCCGTTCCTTCCTGCTCCCCCTTTCCATGCCTGGGGCAGTACAGCTTTCAGGAGGCAGTCACATGAAACACGCTAAACCTTGCTCTGTCTGCTTGTGATGATTACATTTTGACTGTTTTCTTGTTTTTCCTTTGTGATAAGTGATGAAATCTATCTTGCCAGCCTGGCACTAGGCAGTGGGATGGTCACAAAAACCAAATTTGCCCCATCGATGCTCCTTCCTAGGCAGCAGCATTAGTCCCAGGTGTTCAATGTGCAACATCTCGCTGCAAACTTTAGCCTGGGCTTCAATACTTTATAGAAAACGTGGAGCTCTAAAGAGCTGCCCCCCCTGTAGCACTCAGGTCTGCCCTATCCTTGGTGGCACAAATGAGCTGGTTACACAGAGGCAGTATCAGCCTTTAACCAGAGCCTGCCCTTGCGCTTGTTTTCAGGAATTCTGCACTCCTCCCCTGCTAAGGCAGGAATCCAGTGGGAAGACAGAGGACAGACTTCATTTATTTGGGGTTTTGGGTTTTCTACCCCACCTGATCAGCACCAATGCTGCCAATGTGCCACTTGCTGCACTCTTAAAAGTCTCCATTTCAAGCTATTTTTAGTGTGGCCTGCAGCATTTCTTCAGTGCTGCTGGTAGGAGGAGTGGGGACTGTAAAGTTCTCTAAAGAGATCTGTTTATACTGAGCAAATAAGAGCTTCTGTTTATAGAGGCAAAACCAAATAAATAAAAAAAAAAAATCCGGAAGGATGGGCCCATGGCGCTTTTCCAATGTGAAGAGCAAGTCAAAACAATGAATACTACTTGGTTTTGCTTTTCCCTGGCAAGCTTCCTTCAACTGACTATTGCATGATCTGTTCAGGGCGAAGAGACAAGAGAGAAAAAAAAAAAAAGCAAAAAAACCCCTAAAAAAAGCAGGCATTAGTAATTGCTCCAGTTCCTTTCTCCTGCCAGCGGCGGCAGCCCCGCTGCAGCTGTCAGATGGGGAAACCCAAACTCCAGCTCCAGGCGAAAACAGATGGGGCTGGGGGAACAGCTGGACTTCTTCCAGCCCGGCTCCACCGGACCCCACTGGTAAATAGTCAGCAGTCTGGCTGTGTGCTCCCAGCTGCCCTCCTGCAGGCACCCAGGCCAGACACCTCCTTGCACAGCCTAAGGAATGGGTGTTTCATTTAGTTTCCTCAGCCTAAACTCCCATTTCCTTTGGGCTCCCACCAGCTTCCCATCTGTTTTAACACCACCGGCAGGGAGCTCCTTGCAGTGCTCCCCACCCTGGGTCAACACCCAGGGTATTAAATCAACATACCTTCTGCGGCAGTCACTGCGGCTCCAGCTCCTATTTTCATAGCCACGCTTTAACCGATAAGGTTCTATTAATAAATCCATCAGGGAGCAGCACATGCGCTTACAGGAGCGAGCCCCCATTCGGTCTGTCGGTGGGGAGGCTCAGCAGGGAAACGACGAACTCTACTCACAGCATCATATATGCACAATAGTTTTATTTTGGTTTTTTATATAAAAAAAATCCCTAAAGGCTGCAGAAATCTTGTTTCCTAATTTCTTACACAAATGCTTCCAACACCCTCATCTTTTTAAGCTAATTCCCCCCTCCCTCCCCCAACAACTTGCAATGGCATGGGTTCCCCTGATTTTGAACTAGTTACCCTTTCTAATGGGATATGTCTAAAGCTGCAATATGGCACCTGGTTGATTTAGTTGGCAGGTTTAATACATCCAGAAAGCTGGGGTGTGGAGTCACACATGGCTCGGAGTCCCTCAGCACAGGCAGGGAGCCTGCCTCCGCGTCCGTGCCTCCAGAATGAACCGGACTTTTCTCCTTACTGTGCAAGTAACAGGCTTTGGTCATCGACCAGTCCTGTCGTAAGGGATTCTCACCCCTGAAGAGGATCCCATCTTCAAGTGGGGAAGCAGCACATACAGTCAAGCAATTGTCCACCGCAGTCCCGGGTACTGAGACCCCATCAGTCAACTGTACCGTTGTAAGACTTGTTGAGCTTGTTGAACGTGAACTCTACATTATGTGTGGAAATAGGCTTTCGGTAGAGAGGATTAGATGCCTTTGGAGAAAAGAGTAGACAAAAAGAACAAAGGTGAGGAACAGAATCCACGTCATGGTGAAAATGTGTATAATCCTCCCTTCCTGCACCTATTAATTTGGAGATAGTGCTGCATTTGGCTTTAACTGAAATGTACATTCAGATCTAAAAGCACTGCTGCTTGTCCATAGTTTGTGCACCAGACCCACCTCCCATCCTGCCTGCAGGCACAGATGATGCCTTCAAATACTGGGCAACCCCACTGAAGCCTCCCAGAAGGGCCCGCTCACAGATCCGACCGACCAGGCTGCCACCACAGTCAGAGCTTGACCCCGACTCCCTCACCTCCTCCAGCACCGATCAGAAATACGTAATGAAATCAAAGGCTGGGCATAATTTTGCAGAGTATTTGTAACTTGCCAAGGGGAAGGGCAGTGCAATATGCTGGTCCCTGAAGCCCTACTTCAAGGCATGGACATCCACATCCCTTACACCAACCACTCTTCTCCATCGCTGCAGAGCTGTTTGCTGCAGGCGCATCCCGATAGCCACCCTGGTACCCCACAGAACCCACATCCCAGGCTCACCATTTCGTATCTGGCCCGGGAGCGTTCGCTCTGGAATCGGTCGAACTCCCGTCTGTCATGAATGGTGACGAGAAGCTTCCAGAGCGCCAGCAGGAGGATGCCGATGAACACCACGCTGCCGATCACTGCCAGCACGATCGTCACAGTGCTGGGGGCTGAGCTGCACGCTGATGAGGCGGAGAAAGTCATTAGCTCTGGTGCAAGTGTATCCCGGATCAGGATACTGGAATGTAACGACCTGCACCGCAGCCACTGAGCAAGTGCAGCAGGGCAGCAGCTAAACTAAAAAAAAGCATCAGTCCTCTCTGAAATCAAAGGGATTTTTTTAAATCATTAAATAAATTCTTGTCTGGAGGCAGGTGAGAGGCACAGCTCTCAGGGATGTCATCAGAGCCGGGATGTCACGTAGAACTTCTGGGGAAGAGCAGTGCTGCAGTGCCACCGTCCAACGGTGACGCTCATTTTTAAAGCCAGGTGACCCATGTGGGACACAGAGTGTTATAGTGCCTCTGGCAAAAGCCAGCTCAGCCTCTGGCCCACATGGAGCCAGGCGATAACAGGCACTTTAAATAAGTACATTAACTATCAGCTAATCAACTGATCTTTCAATTAAGTGCAAGCTGCAGCACAAATAAAATAAAACATGAAGTATTTCAGTCTTTCCCATACTGGCCTATGCCTCAGAGGATCAGAGCAGATCATGAGAAGCTACCGCCTGCCAGCTCGTCCTGCAACACCACATGGGGTTTTCTTTGGGAAACTGCATTGCACATGATTAAAATAAAGCTGGGAAGCACAGCTGTCTGCAGTGGCCCCAGGGAGCAGAGCTGGGACACACAGCCTTTACACTGCCTGGACCAGAGCTAGCTCTTTGGCAATGCAGAAATCCATAGGTGGTGTGGAGCTTTCCTAACATCCTGACTTAACCATCAGCGGCACTTGCACTTCTAATTTTTTTTGCTGCTGTATCTCCAAATCAGCACATGGCATGGCTTTTGCTAAGTAAATAGGCTGAGTTTAATTTCAGCATCCCAATCTGGCAGAAAGCCCTTCAGCCACTTGATAGCAATGCTAGCAGCTCAGGTGCGTGTTTGACTCTCAGAGTTCATTTTTAGTAAGCTGGGAGCAGTTAGAGCTGGGTTTCAGCACTGTAGAACACTTTTATTTTAAATTATCCTGGTTCATCTGCTCACGTGTGCCTTCATGCAGCCAGTGAAACCAGCCTTTCTGCAACATGCCAGGCTCTCCAGCAGCCCATCACCTCTCCCAAGGCAGGCTGTGCTATTAAAAGGAAACCCCAAAGAGGACCAACCTGGCTCTTTGAGGACGGTGAGGTTGGATTTCCCACTGGCAAGCTCCGAGTAGGTGAACTTCATGACGCAGTTGTTCACCGGGTAGGCACAGAGGATTGCGTTTGGGTCATCCGTTTCTGGAATGAGATGCAAAGTCACAGAGTCCTATTTTGGTTTTTTATACAAAAAAGGGATTTCCTGAAATCTGCAGAGCTCTTGTATCCTAATTTCTTATGCAAATGCTTCCAATACCCTCATGTTTTTAAGCTAATTCCCTCCCAACAACTTGCAACGACATAGGTTCCCCTGATTTGGAACTAGTCACCTCTGGGAGCAGAGGAACAGGGAGCAAGACTGGAAAGTAGCACAATTTGACCATGATTTGTGCAAATTGTACGTAAGCAGTGTCCAGACTTACTGTTTGAGAAAAGGTGGCTCTTGGCAAAGGCTGCACAGTAAACAGATGCAACCTCACATAAACACACATTCTTCCTTTGCACAAGTCTGCTTTGGCAATAAATGCAGTTTTCTTCTTAATTGGCTACATTTCTCAAAGAGTGGAAGCTGAAGAGAAAGCAAGGGGCACAGCCTCCGCCTGCCAGGACACAGACAGGGCCATCATCATCATCAGCCCATGGCTGGCTCCTGCTCCGGCTGTGCTGACCAGCTCCAGCTCTGGAAACAGTTGAGAAGTTTGTTAAAGAGGGAGATAGAAAAGTAAAATGGGAAGGGGAGAGGAGGAGGGAGAGAGGGGGAAGGGAGGAGTGTGTGCTGTTGGCAGGTTCAGCTCAGCACTGGACCTGTCACGCTCCTCCAATGCTGAAAGCTCCTCTCTGGCGTCATCAGGAATGGAGATTTAATTTTGCAGAAGCAAAGGAGATCCTGCAGAATCCAATGCAAGTCATCTAAGCTGACCAAAAGGTATCATTCTGGCTCAGGAGTCCAGTGATAGATGTCTCTGCTCTATGAAGCTCTGAAGCACTGGCTGCTTCCTACCCAGAACCAACAGGCACATGGGATCTTCCAGGGTGTGTTCATTGCAATTGAATATATAAGGTCCCATCACCTTCCGCCAGAACAACAGAGACCTATGTCTTCTGTGATAAATATCTAAATATCAGTGTTCAGCCTCTCAGTAGGGTCTCTTAACATATGCTACATGATACAAAAGCACTTGAACACCAGGAGTTGGCTGAGTTTACCTGTAAGGAAGTCCATAGTCCCCAAACAATTTTGCTATGAATATTTTGCTTTACTTCTTTCCTTAGTAGCCCAGATCTCCAACCTGTGGAGTATCATGAGCTACCAAGAGCTCAGCACCATCCACAATCTAACTGCTATTGAAGAATAAGGGTAATTCCCCAAAATGTCTTAAAACAGAAATCTGGCTGTGTTTTTTCTCTGAAAGCCATGTGGGGGGTTGGCAAACCACAGCCCAGTCTCACTTCCCAGGGCACAGTTAGCACAAAAGCTGGCTTTGGCATGGTGCAACACCTCGGCAGGAGAGTTGAACTTTAATCCCCAGTATTTGCTGGCTCCTAAGAAACGCAGGCTAGCCAGGCATCAGAAAGGAGCTTTGTGTGGTTTGGAAGAGCCTTGTAACCTCTCACAGTGTGTTAGTGTAGGTGCAATCCCCAGTAAACTGCAGGGAGGATGGAGAGAACAAGAGCAAATGTCCCAAAGGGAAAGGTAGGAAAGCCCACTGGTTGTAATTTAAAAGCTAGACACTGGATATGAGAGGAGTCAATGGGAAAAACATTCCCTGCAAGCAGCTCAGGAGAATTGGAGAGAAAGGACAAGTGAAGTAGAGTACTCCTACCTCTATAAACTATGGGAAGAGGAGGAAATGTCAGATGTGGGCAGTAATTTATCTTTGCTTGATCTCCATCCCTCCCTCCATGGTGTCCCTCCCTCCACGGGGTATTGCTAAGGCCAGGGTCAGGATTTAAAGCTGTCACAGTTGGGAGTCCCCTCTACTCCCACAAAAAGCAACCAGGGACTCACAGAATGGAGCTTGAAAAGAAGGGGGGAAACAGTCATCAGCTGAGGAACACAGGTGCGGGGTGACGTCTGGAAGAGGACACAAAGGTCAGGAGAGGAGCTTGCCATGGGGACTTTCAGCAGTTCCACCAAAGCAGAACTCATGATGTTAAAACCAGCTTTGCTTTCTCTTACAAGCTCACTTCTTCCAAGATGAATCCTCAGAAGATTAGAGAATGCCTTTTTTGGGTGATACTTTGTCCTTTTGCACTCTCCCACAGCTCATCTAATCCTCGGCCTCCTCTTGATCTCATCCCACTCTCTTTTCTCCTTGCACTGGGGGTAGTGGTTACAAGTGGTAAGATGTTATTTAAAATTAAAGGGTTATTTAATTCAATTACAGCCCAGAGAGAGGGTCACACATATCCCACATACACATAAGCATGTTACATACACATATACATTTCTAAATACTAGGAGTTTCCTGAGGCCTTCTTTACAGATAAGTCTTGGTCTGATTAGGAGAAGTTCAATGCAAGCGCCTGCAGTCCTGCTGCTGCCACTTACCGAGAACATCCACGGTGGTGATGATCTCATCCTTGCAGTGCTTTTGGCAGGTTTGGTTATCAGCCAGTCTTCCTGAGTTAAACAGCTTGCATTCAATGCAGTCCCTGCAGAAAAAACACACAGCGAGGAAGATTAAGCACCCGTCAGAAACCACATGAACGTAGAGATTCACTCCTCGGAAGGGGACTCTCTGGATGTTGGTCTGGAAGCTGCACATCTGCACTACAAGGGAAGAGCAACTTCAGGGCAAAGCACTTCCATCTCAAGGATGGATTCATTCTAGGGGTGGATTTGATAAAGGTGCAAAACAGCTGGTAGGTTTGGAGGCTGTTTGCCTTTTGGATGTCAGGAGCTGCATGTCAGGTACTGCAAAATCCATCCTGCCTGAGATCAAGGCAGACAGCTTTGCTGCACTGCACCAGTCTGAGGCTGAAGCCCAGGGCATCGCCATCTCCGTGAAGCAGGCAGTCATCCCCGCCATCCCTTCCTCTGCAGCTTGCAGCTTGCAGCTCTCTGGGCCCGCCAGCCTTCCTTGCAGAGTAGGACAGCACTGGAACTGAACAGGGACATGAACCTCCATGAGGACTTGGCCAGCAACACTTGCTGCTTCTCTACCTGGAATACTCTCAGGTTGCTGAAGTGTGGGCTCCAAGCAGCTTGCCTGGGGCTAATCACCTGGGTTTAATGAAGCAGGAGTAATTCCTTAGCTGAAAGGTCTCCCAGAAACCAAAGAGCTGCCCTTCCCACCAGCAAGAAGTCCCTCCTGAACCCTGCCGTGAATACCTTTTAGTGCTACAGACACCCGGGCAGGTGGGACACTTCTCACACGTCTCTCCAAAAGCCCCCGGCTCGGTGCACTGACACTTCCCACAGATGCAGGTGCCTCTGCCGCTGCACATCTGCCCGTCACTGGAAACACAGCTGTCCGTCTTGGTGGAGCAGTTGCAGTTGTCCCCGATGTAACCGGCGTGGCACTTGCACTCCCCGCAGTGACACTCTCCGTGGCCTGAAGGCAAGAGCAGGGGAGAGGTGTCAGCAGCATCCCGGGCTAGCGCCGGGCTCTGCAGGTGTCCCTGTGCCAGAGGGACCGGCAGCCCAGAAGGAAAAGCTGCCAGAGATACCTTGCTTGGCAGAATAACAGATGGTGATGGGAAGCACCTAGCTATCAAATTATTTAGCAGCAAAAAATAGGTACCTGATCACAGCTTCCCTCTACAGTCACTCCAGATAAGTGGGCACACTTCCCTGCCCACCGCGGAGCCTGAGCTCTGGAGAGAAATACTGCTGCTAGGCCCTCCAAATGGTGTAAAAGAGGGGGCTCTTGTGAGGGCTTCCATGTTCACTGGTCTGGCTGGTGTTTTGTATGAATTGATCTCTTCTGTCTCTGTCTGCATCAAGAGATAAGAATATGGGAACGGAGCAGCGTTCCCTTGCTGGATTTGAACCCAGCGTTTAGCAGTAAAAGGCCTAGAACACCGACAGCTTCATAAGGTCTTTTCTACCCTTCTTTCCTAACAATTTTACCCAATAAGCACTCCCAACACCTTAAAAAGCCTTAAGAAAATGAAACAGCGCTGTCTAACTGTGTCCGAGTGAGAGCTCTGTGTCCCAGCCACGAAGCTTGCTGGGACCAGCCAAGCCTCCCCCAGAGAGCAGCTCAGAGCTACTCCCACAGCAGAGATGGATGAACAAGCCAGTCCAGTAAGGGCACTCCTCTGCTGACGCATCCCCACGCAGCTACAGGGTTTAGCAATGGGCTGAGAAAGGCAACAGGCTTCAATCTTTCAGTGACGGAAAGCGGAGTGGCTGGCTGCCGAGCATCTGGTTTCAGAGAGGCATCCATCAGCTCACTGGAAATACTGCTCAAATTGCTCCTTGGTCTGTCCCTAGGAGAAGGGATGCCTTTGAAGGCATAGTTTATAGAGCTGAAGGGTTTGTACACGAGGCTCATCAGCAACCTAATTACGGCTCAGCTTTCCCACTGGAAACAGCTTCAAGCGCCTCAGACAAGATAAATTATGTACAAGTTCTTCTCATTGGCACAAAACCACGATCTCCCTGCCTCTCCTGCCGCTCTAAGATTACCAGAGAGGCTGTGGATTGTCAAGCTATATTCCTTGCCAAAAGTCATGGGAGCACCTTCTGTTTTACTAGGCATCTTATATGTCCCAGCACATCACAAGTTGCCCTCCTACAGCTTTTTTTGCACTCCCACCGTTTGCTTTGGATCCAGCTTAAAAACTCAAACATTACTAGACAGAGGAGATTATGTTTACAAGATCTCTAGAGGTGACCTTCTTCCCTGCCTACATCTGAGGGAAATTAAATATCCCTCACTCTGTTTGCTTTCATGGCAAAAGCCTTGCCCTTTGCCCAGATACATCTGTACGAGCAGGTTTTGTTTGTCCCTTTCCTTCAGAGCTCCAGTTTTGAGCCCGTGGACACAACCACATCCACCACCGCTGCTACCTGGGGTGCAGCTACAGGGCAGGAACCCCCGTGCCCTCCGCTTCACAAGCAAACAAAGCTTCACAAGCTTTTATTCACAAGCTCACAGGCTCTCACACACAGCAAGTTTGGTGCGTCCATGGCAATGCATGTGTCCAAATTAGCTATAAATCATGGTTTTCTTAAAACGGGCACTATATCAAGGAATCCAAACCAGCTGGCACTGGAAATCTACGTATATGGCATTTAGTAAAAGTGCTCATGCTCAAATTTGAGCTGTGAAGGCCAAGAGAAGCAAGTCAATTGCATACACACCACCTAGTTTAATAAACACAGTTTTTAAAGTTGGTGGCGCCAGGCCAGTGTAGGAGGTTAGAAAGACTGTACATCCCTTCCAATCCCTGGCAGGCTGGGGATGGAGCCTGCAGTAACTATCCCAGGGAAGGGAAACAGCCTTTTCCAAATAATGCATCCTATTAAACCATTGCAATTGGAAAATTTAAGAAACAGCATCTTAAAGCAAGCGCCTTTGTTTACTGAAGAGGATGAAGAAAAAGCTTCTACATGAGGGTGACTAAGTGTGGGGTGTGATTTCAAAATTTAAAAACATTGAACTGTGTTTTCTGCCTCAACCACGTTGGCTCAATGTGCAAGAAGTCACTGGCTGAAGCTCATCATGGGCAATGTGCCAAGAGTGGGAATTTTCTTGTTGACCTTTAACAGCAAAGATGTTACAACCTTCATTGCTGCATCAGCTCGAGTGGCTACTCCTGCAAGCACCACGAGCTCCACTTTTGCTGCTCTCCCTTCCATCCCACACACAGCCTAAAGACTGGGGAAATGTAGTGAGTGGGACAGATTTATTTCTCATATGGACATGACAACAGTCGTCCCACTTCTCAAAGTCCAGCTGGAGCACTGGAGATGGGAATCCATCCTCTTGCTCAGCACACAACCTGAGAGAAGCCCCAGGGCAATGTGGCAGCGAGCCTTTTGGTGATCCAGAGCTGAGGTCTGCATCAGAGTGCTGCCTGCTACTTGTATTTTGCAGCCAAACGTGCTGCATGTTTCCAGTCCGAGCTATCCTACAGTCACATGCAGTGCTGATGTGGTTAGGCAGTCTCTACGCCCTGTAAGATCGTGCCTGTGAGAAGCTTTCCAACACTATGCCAAGGAAGAACCTAGTTTCACTTCCCAGTTTCATTTCCAAGAGGAAGATACATCCTCGAGGAGGGTGTGTTTCAAGACACCTCTGTACCAACAGAAGTCTCATGGTGCAGGACATCACCCTGGACTTTAACCCCCTTGAACCCTTAAGAGTTTGTATGTTCCCTATTAAAAGCTGGTTTGTGAAGCCAAAAGACATTAATTATGTTCTCCAAACATAACAAGAGATGTTTTCTTCTTTTCCCATCCTTGAAATGAGACGAGCTTAGATGTTTAAAAGATCCAGAACGAACAGAAATGAAATGCTCCCTCTGAATTTGATAACATACTTTCCAGTCAGCTCTTGATTGTTGGGGGGCTAACACGAAACACATGTCATGGAGGCTGCAGAAACATGCTGGGAGGGTGTAGCAGAGGAAAACACTGCTCTCCCCACCGCAGAAGCATTCCCCAAAGTTTGGACTCGTCTGGGATCCAGCAGGGCAGGAGCCATGGGGTGCACTGCTGCTTGGACGCTTCCTCTCCCCAAGGAGGGCACCAAAGTGGATCGAGACCCACAGCCCAGCTGGTCCCTCCATCTCAAAATACATCCCCAATCCCACCGCCGTGCCCCGGCTGGGCTGCACATCTCGCTGTCACTCAGGCAGCTCTTGGCAGGACATCCAACCGTCCTTGTTTCACCCCAGCTGCCCCTGCCTCTTGCCTTTGGCTGCCTGCCGGGATAATGGCCACAGACCAAACTGCCTCTGCCCTCACCCCAGCACCACACAAACCCAGCAGCGAGCAGGAATCTGGATAGCAGCTTCTGGCAGAAACTTCCAGCGTCTGACCCTGATTTCATCCCAGGCTTCCTGATGGCAGGCTGGAAAGCAGGACCCGGCAGTGGCTGAGTGCTCAGCGGGGTCAGCCCATCTGCCCTCCACGATAACCGTTTAGGAATTGCCCTGAGTGCTGCTGCACCAAGAGCTCTGACACGTGACGCATTTAAGGCTCTGCTGCTAAGTCTTTTGATATAAAGTGGTTTTCCTAAAGCTCCTGACTTCTGGAGACCACAAAACTATGCAAAAATACCAGTTTTCTTCTGAAAGAAAGGAAAAATGCCCTCAGGTTTTATGGAGGAGGAGAAAGAGGTTGAAAGCAAATCCCTCCAACACTCCTTTTTTCCCCACCTTCTAGAAAACAAAATTGATGTGCCTACCATAAAAGAAAAAAACAATCCACATGATTTTTAAACCAGTTTCTTGGTTTCTGAGCACTTGGGAGGGGAGCGGTCACACTGCATTTTGTTCTCATTAAATCAAGCCATGTATTTTTGTGCTTTCAAGCTCACATCCAGGCTTTGGGTCAGGACCTTCAACACACCGTGGTTTTTGTCATTTTTGGTTATTTGAACAACTAGTTCGAAAAAAGCCCACAAAAGCCCCACAGGAAAACCAATTAAGAGAAATAATTTATGGCAAGCAACTTCCACACTCCCCAGTGCCATCCCTTTAACGAGCCCTGGCCTCTGTGCCCGACACCCGGAAAGCCCCAACGCAGAAGCCACACGTTTTTTTGTAGTCCCTATGGCTGGATGCACCAAAAGCATTTGTTTATGAGAGAAGAAGAAATCAAACCCTACCAACACAGGGCACTGCTTGAGCGTCTGTTTTGTACCAGACCAGCCAATCTCTCAGCAAAAGTGCTCAACGTCTGCAGGAAAGGCTCCGTGAACGGCACATTTTGAGTGAGTCACGAAAGAAGCTTCTAACACTTGGAAAACGTAGACCTTTCAGTTTGGGAAAGGGCTATGACATGACACAGTGCCTGCTTGGGCAAATAAACCATCAACTTCCCCACTAATCTTTTTCCATGACTCAAAGCAGCCGGTGCTGCACATGAAGAGGCCAGGCACGGCGAGGCAGCCTGCCCGCGGCTCAGCTCCAGCTCACGGCCATCCTGCTGCCAGATGGTCGGCAACGGTAGGAAGTCAAGGAGAGCTTGGGAAACCTTAAACACTGGGGATGGTCTTAGGATCCATTCCCCGGGCCACAGCAGTCTGGAAGGGAAAACAAGGGTGGCAGGTTGGCAGGAGCATCCCCAACTCCATGGAGTCTAACAACCCCTTTGTGAAGAGGAAGTTACTATAAAAACACAGACAGACAAACATCAAACATCTGAAGCATCTGAAATGTATCCACTGATTGCCTCCATTCACACCACAAGTGAGCTCGCCCATGCTCATACAGCCACAACACTGAAATAAGAAAACACTAAGAGGACAGTAATAAGTAAATAGTGCTTTTTTGTAGCCTATTTACAGCAGACATCATGGATCTGTGCATCTTCCCATTGCATTAATTTCAATGTGTATTTATAACCAGAAGGATATGGGCTTGGCCAAGAATCAACAAGGCTTTAAATAAGCCTTTATTTCAGTCCTAGTGCTGGTTGAGCTCACAAGTCAACGAAAATAGCA